TGTTGAAATGCAGTTTGAAGATTGATCATGAGATCGATTTTTTTTTAAATACTTAATTCTTAAATACTTCAAAAAAAAGATGAACAAGAAATTTGCTAAAAATTTCCTAAACCTTTAAACAATCTTAGTCTGTTTATACTTATAGACATTTGACATCCATTTTCCATTGACAAAAGGCAAGAGCGCGATTCCCACGGAGAAAAACAAATAGAATTTTTTGGAAGTATACTGATTTGTTTGCATAAAACTGTCACTGGGCACTGGGTTGAATAAATAAGATGCATTGAATCAATAGAATTGGAACTGTCTTACACAATTCTAAGCCGATGAAACTGTAAATATTATACGTTAAAAAATCCTCATTTTTTATTGGCTAAAAGCAGTGGGATCGTATTTGACTGACTTCAATTCCAAAACATTTTCTGCATTATATATTTAATGGTAACAATCGTTTCAGTCCGAACCTCAAAAAGGAACAATTTTAAGATTAGATTTCGGTGCAGATTTACATGTGGGTATGATTAAATGCGCTTTACATCAAGTATCACGCTACCTAATAACATACTTAGCCTATAATTATATATAGATCATCTTTGCAACAATTGTGATATTACTTTCTTAACTGTGTTTATCCCAACCCACCCTGTCAACTTTCCCTGTGAGAGGAAACCAGAGCACCGGGAGAAAACCCACGACTTTCGGCAGAGCGTTGACTGACTCTTTTCACATGAGTGGGCAACCAGAGAATCGAACCCACAATCTTATAGATGAAAGTCCTGAAAGGCGTTTCCTTACCTGCTCTGATTTTAGAACTGATAGAGCTATGTCCAGTATAAATAAAGTTAGTTTAGTTTAGGTTTCCTCCTGTAGTAACACTGGATCAATAAGAGATGATCCTTACTGGACCTCTAGGAAGAACAGTTTAGAACTGATAGAGCTATCTAGTATAAATAAAGTTAGTTTAGCTTAGGTTTCCTCCTGTATAGTAACACTGAATTAATATGAGATATATCTTACTGGACCTCTAGGAAGAACAGTTTAGAACTGATAGAGCTATCCAGTATAAATAAAGTTAGTTTAGTTTAGGTTTCCTCCTGTAGTAACACTGGATCAATAAGAGATGATACTTACTGGACCTCTAGGAAGAACAGTTTAGAACTGATAGAGCTATCCAGTACAAATAAGGTTACAGTAGTTTACATACTTTTCGCCAATGAATGCTGAAACTTTTTTCTGGTCAACACCTTGTGGAATGAGCACACCAGTGATAGTGGGCAAACGATGACGCTAAAAATACAGGATCATGTTAAAGCATTTGTCACTATTCTTATTGTGAGCTAGCAAACTTTAACATAACTTAATTTAGCATGATAGCAATATTTATTTTGCATCACCTTATCCTGAACGAGAAATGTGAATCCCATTTTCTCAAAACCATCTTGCAAAAGTTCAGCACTTTTCTGATGTCTTGCAATGAAATTTTCAAGACCCTAAAATCCAATGAAAATGTCTGATTATACTTACAAACTGAGCAAGACAGGACACTGTTTATATATATTAGTACTGTAAATATCTCCCCAAACCAACCTCTTCAACGACCAATGAAAGAGCTTCTCGCAAAGCATAAACAGAGTTAATTGGTCCAGTGTGATGATATCTATAGGAAAATAGAAATAAAAACTAAATGCTGATGGACATTGCATATTAGAAAGACAGAAGGCTTGTAAACACTCTTGCCCTGACCAACTCTACACCACAAATATGACATTTCCATGAAGCAAATAAAGTCGGTGCAGTGAAGTCACCCTATATCCTAACATGCTGTTTGTAGATAAATCTTGAGAGCTACAGGTACGGGGTAGTTATCTAACCACACTCTGTGATAATTTTTACCTGCGTGGTCCATCGTCACATCCCCAATAGTTTGCAATCATTGTGAGATCAAAATAAAATGAGGGAACCTTTGTGTTTCTTGATTGTAATTTCTTCCTATGAAATATTTAACAAAATATCTTCAACATCAAAGCCAACAACTATGAATGAAATTATCAGCAACTTTGACACAATTTAGCACGGCAGCTTATTGTCGAATACTACCTACACTGGACCACCACGTTTGAGATATCTTTTTCAAGTAGTTTAGACACAAACCACGACAGCTTATTGTAGAATACTACCTACACTGGACCACGACGTTTGAGATATCTTTTTCAGGTAGTTCAGACACAAACCACAACAGCTTATTGTAGAATACTACCTACACTGGACCACCACATTTGAGATATCTTTTTCAGGTAGTTCAGACACAAACCACGACAGCTTATTGAAGAATACTACCTACACTGGACCACCACATTTGAGATATCTTTTTCAGGTAGTTCAGACACAAACATCAGCATATTGTAGAGGTATATACTTTTACTCACCAAGCTCGAGGACTAAGTGATATAGGGCTTAACCCAGGTGGAGCACCCAGGCATTTCTGTGAACCGCTATATACAACATCAATTTCAAGGTCGTCCACATTCAAAGGTGATCCTCCGAGAGACGCCACACTATCCACTATCAATATACAATCATTGCTACAATGGAAAATTCAAATTCTGTTAAAAAGTCAGTTGTCATGTTACTTTTCAATGATTTGTAAATATGTGATTACTAGTGCCCCAAGACATGGAAAACAGATTTTTAAAATGTCGAGATGTGTTAGGTCGGATTTAGATCGGCATACTTTTGCAGACTTCAATTAGGGTGTATCGCTACTAATAACTGTCATATGTCTGTAAGCACTCACTTATGACAGAGTTTTCCAATGCCTTCAAGAGGTTGACACGTTGTGCCTGATGACTCTCCATGAGTGATAAACACTACGCCTGGTTTATGCTCCTCTATTCCCTGAAATTCAAATAAAATGTTGTTTAACCCATTGAGTGACAACACTCTCGAGTAAAAGTTGTCTGGTGTTAGACAAAGTAAAATAATAAAGTTGGGCACATTGGAGCACAATGCAGCTTAATGACATTGCACCTAATCTGCAATCAGGCTTTTATTTTTCTTGCATCAAGTGCTAGACAGTGTAATGATAGGTTTGTTATTCAAGTCCATTTGTATATCTAGACAAAATACACATTGCCAGAATTTGGCATAACAGATAATTTGTCTGTTCGCCACATATATAAACAGACAAATCGTCAGACAAAATATTTCTGCTTTGTCCAAGTTGGTCAGCACAGATCATAAGTCAAGTACAGTAAATTGGTCAAAAATTTAAACAATAACCTTTTGTATATCTTCCAAAGTAAAAACTTCACCAATAGGTCTCTCTATCTTTCTGACATCACAACCTAACAAAATTACGAAAAATGTGTTTAGGACATTGCATTTGATACAGGCAGATATATGCAGAAATTGAGAAAAATGTCAAAATGGACAGAAATTGAGTACAAAGCCATCTAAAGCCTCTTTATTAGACAAAGTAAAATAACAATACAGAAAGCATAGGTTCACAATAAACAGACTGGTAACGCTTTAAGTGGCAATGCACCATACTGACTCTACTTTACTATTTTACTCTGTCTAATGCCAGACGATTTTACTGGTCAGGGGAGAGTACTGCCACTCTATGGGTTAGCTTATTAAACACCTTATAGGCATTAAACTGAATAAAATACTGCTGCTATTAAAATGAAACGAGTTACCAAAATAACCTAAATGAAGACTTTGTATTATAGCTCTATGGCAACGCAATCAACTAGTTATAAATTTGAGTAATTAAACACTTCAAATATCAACGTTTGACCATAATTACGTACAATAAACAAAGACACTTGCCTATTCTTTCAGCCATATCAGACGCTCTCTCCCCCCAAATTCCATTGACACAAATCATGATTTTCTCGCCTCTTTCGGTCATGTTAATAATGGAAGCTTCGACACCACTGTGACCAGTCCCGCTTAGCGCAAAAGTATGCTTATTTTTCGTCTGCCAAATGTATTGTAAACCTAACTTTACTTCATCCATAATTGCACAAAACCGTGGGTCTAAGAGCCCCAAAATCGGTTGAGCGCAGGCATCCAGTACCCTTCGGTGGGCATTTGAAGGACCTGGGCCCATTAACAACCGTTCTTCAACTTTTAAAGGCACTAAAAGTTGTTTAGGAGGCTCAACAACAGCCATATTGTTCTTCTTTCCTCTTTGAAAACACAAATAAATACACGTGGACTTTGCTACCGAAGGTATTTAATCACCGGAAGTAAATCATTACCGGAGATCGCTGACCTCAAATTGACACTGGATGGCTATATGTGATGAAGCCTGATATCAAATTAATCACTGGATGGTGCATCTGAAGAAAGCACACTGATATGAAATTAACACTGGATCACAGAATAGGAAGTTATACCAGAAGCGTAACTCTAGTCGTTTCCCTTATTGTTTGACGTCCACGAAAATTTTTAACTCGCTCACGTCAGGCCACGCCATCCTGGCTAGTACAGCCGGAAGTTTTTATCAGGATTTGGTAGGTACAAAGTGCCGGTTGTACTAGCCAGGATGGCGTGATTGATGACGAATCGCTTGTAAAAACGCGGACAAATATTTGCTCGAGTTACGCTTCTGGTATAACTTCCTATTCTGTGACTGGATGGTACATCTGATGAAAGCACACTGATATGAAATTAACACTGGATGGTACATCTGATGAAAGGGGAAAGCCAGAGCCTGAGAGGGGTGTCATTGGTAGTGACGATTTCTGGATAATTAACAATTAGACAACGAGGCCGAGTTGTCTATGAGCGAATAGTCAACGAGGCGAAGCCGAGTTGACTATTTGCTCATAGACAACGAGGCCGAGTTGTCTAATTGTTTTAGTATAAACTTTAACATTAATTTACAACTAGGCTGCAAACACAATACAAAAATACACAAAAAACATTATAAAACCATTAAAGGTAAACAAATATTTTAGTTTTTGTTCGCGTAAAATGTTTTACAAAATTCAGTTTTAATTTTAAAATTTCATTGAGTGTATGTAATTTTGTCTATTTTCTTACCCTTAAAAATTGCCATTCCATATTTTTGTTGCTTTTTCCGGGATTTTTTAGTACAGAATTGTTCAACAAGTCGTCCAAAAAATCATCAGACACTTCGGCAAAAGTGCAAAACGCGAATTTTCCGCCATTTTGAATTTTCTATTAGTAGGCTATCACTAATAGCCTACTAGTAGCGTAGCCAATCAGAAGGCACGAAATGTGATAGCCTACTAGTAGGTTTATACTAATGGTAGTTATACTGACTGTATTTGCTCCAACTTGGTAGGTGAGCAATCTCTGACATTTCAGGAATCAAAAGGCAAAACGCACTTAATAGATACAGTATATGTAAATTAGCATGGCTTAAACCCCCCAGACTGTTCGTTTAATTAAAGACCTTCATTATTGAGCTATCCCCTGCTAATTCGCATAGTGCTGTGGCTTCCATTCAGATTATACATGATTGATAACCACTGATGTTCTATCAGATAACCCTAAAGACTGTTGTTCTATGTGTATTTACCGTGATTTTCTCGTGTCATGTGGGTATCACGCGTTAAAGAAAAAACAACTACACGCGTAAAATCGCTCAAGTTGTTACAAGTCTGCAAACAAGTTGTTAGAAATCTGTTCAAAAGCTGTCTGTTCGCACTGCTTGCTCCCAGTTGTTGTAACAAATTTGAAACAAGCTGTTAACAACTTGTAACAAGCTTGACGGCATTATCAGACTTGTTACAAGGTTGTTCTACCAAGTCTGATACAGTCATGATATAACAAGAATGTTACAAGGTTGATGACACAAGGTTGTAACAATATTGTTATATCATGACTGTATCGGACTTGTTGGAACAACCTTGTAACAATTCTGATAATATCAACAAGGTTGTTACAAATTGTTAACAGCTTGTTCCAAACTTGTTGACAACTTGTGACAAGCAGTGCGAACACAACTTGTTGACGATTTGTTGACAAACTTGTTACAAGATGTGAGATTTTTGTGTGTGTAGACATAGTAACATACTACCAGTAGGCGCAAAAGTGAGTTTCTTCCCAACATATTAGAATACCTAAGCAACATGCATAAGCAACATATATGAATAGTTATAGTGCATTGTAATAACATACAAAGTCAGCACATTTTCAAAATTAACATATTCTAGAAATGTATTCAATGCAAATATGGCGTGATGCAATCAATATGTTCATTATTCACAGTCGTTCTAGAGATATACCAGTCGAAATGGCTCCGAAGAATTGTAAAAGAATAATACCTGAAACAAAATCAATTCCTTGGGTGGTTTACATCAGGCCGCTTATAGATATAAGCGGCCTGATTTACACCGTCTTGGTTACCACTTGTTTGATTATCATCGTAATCGGCAGTTGTTTCAGAGGGGAATTGCGGGAAACCATCGTTGTACCTACAAACGACGTCGAACCTCCGCAAAGCGTCAAACCAGCAGTCGCAACAAGACGTGTTGAAAACAGTGCGTTCAAGGATGAAGCCAAAGTGGTTACGAAATCTGATGACATATCTGCTTTCATGACTGAGTATTTTTCGAATTCTGCCAGTCTCTCTGATCAACACAAAATAACTAAACACAATGTCGAAACAAGACGTGTTGAAAACAACGTGTTCAATGATGAAGTCAAAGTGGTTACGGAATCTGATGACATATATTCTGCTCTCATGACTGAGTATTCTTTGAATTCTGCCAGCCTCTCTGATCAACCCAAAATAACCAAACACAATGTCGAAACAAGACGTGTTGAAAACAACGTGTTCAATGATGAAGTCAAAGTGGTTACGGAATCTGGTTACAAACCCGATATATTGAACTATCAGAGGAGAAAAATACCCCATTTTTTCCGTAAGCGAGGATCACAAACCAAAACCAGACCTGGTGAAAACAGCGCGTCCAAGTATGTGGCCAAAGCGGTTAGAGAATCCCATCTCAAAGTTACTGAACCTGATCCAAAACAAGACATCATATCTGATCTGAAACTTGGTGTTGAGATATTTGGCCCGGTTATGAATTCCAGTGGCGAAGCAGTTTCTGAACCGATTTTTGGAACTAAATTTGACATGGAACATTTTGCTCATGATACTGAAAGAAAAACCGAACTAAAAGTCTAAGGCCATAGACGGATATTACCTTTCGAGTTCATGCGGAGCTAACCGTATGAATGAGTCATATGAACACTGAATGGAATTGGATGATACTGAACACAAAGAATAAGTTTCCTAAAGTAATAAATAATCATAAAGTAATGTAATAAAGTAATAAAATAATTACGTTTATATATACTCAAAATTCATTCTGGTATTATATGTCTGTATGTTTTTCTATCAGGCTTAAGAGCAGTTATAGGCTTACAACTTACGGGCCCAAAATAAAAACCTATGTGCTTCCTAGTTGTATTTTTACCCTATATCTTTCTATGTTATTTTGGTTACAACGTCAAGGTGTTAGCGTTATCCGAACTTCATTTTACTATCCTCTGGTTCCAAACATTTTAAAGTCGGTTAAAAACCTCGTCGGAAATACTTTATATCGTAAACGTAGGGACTTGTCAGAAACTAAGTGCCCAGCATCAATTCTGCCTGACAATATCGATGCAACCTTAATGCCATATTCTCAAAATGATAAAATTTAACGGCTCTGCATGTCACTCTGTGAGACTTATTGATGCATGTTCATCCCCACAGAGTGCCCTTGCTAATTCGCATGCTGCATTTTTCATTATGTATGACTGACAACTATTGTCCTGTCTATATTACAATGACGAAATAAAATACTTCGTCAAGCCCTCCTAGCTCGCTAAATACTATCAATCTTTAGTGTCCTTATTAACAGCTTTATACTTTTGGCCTCGATCGAGTTTTCCGAAACTGTGAGCTAGTATTTTGAAGTTTATCATCTTTTGTTACTTGCAATTCAAATTAAGAAATTATCATATTACACTTCACGCGCTATACGCATCGCCATTCCCAATTAATTTATGAACCCCAAGCCCTCTAATTGTTTTTAATTGAACAACATCCAGTACAAAATTCAGTGCACTTAATGAAGTATGGATAATTGTACTACAGAAGAGTTAAAATCTATGTTGCTGAATAATTCAATGCTTTATGGGGCGATGCACATGTGTTTAAGGACGCCACTGTTTCGGGATCATATCTTATTCACTATGTTGGTACATCCTACCTGAGCAGAGACCAACCTTCTCAAACCCAGATGAGTGACTCCAATCCCAATAACTTCGGGATCACTTCCTCCCAATTGTTGCCCAACTGTAGTCGAGTACACGCACACGGTACCAACTTGTCAGCGGTCTTTAGCCACGTCAGCGCCTTAGCAACCTTGGCTTGCAACTCGACCTCAGACCCATCCGAGCTCTCGTGCATTTTAAATGGCGGTTTCAGTTGAAGCGGGAAAGCGGCTGGCTTGTGATGACGTAAGTATGCGAGAACAAGTAATGTAGCTAACATTTTGCAAAGTATGGTATATATACGAGTCCCTAGATAAGGAAATGGAAAGATACAGGTTTGTTGAAGTGCCTATGAAAACTACTTCCATATTATTCTGGGATTGCAGAGGGGTGCGCACCCGATCGACCTAGTGGTATCTAGCTCTAGAGAAGTCCAGCAGCACTCTGAAAATTGCTTGACCATACATTCTCTAGTTATCGACTGGAAATCAGCGGAAACGTCTACTTATAACGACTTAGTTTTACAATTATCTACATGCATGAGTGAATCATATAGCTATCTTATATATAGACCAGATAGTACATCCAATTATTCTGCAATTAAAAAATTGAAGCCGTGATTGCATACTCAGGATATTCCCATGAAATGAGAAGACTCGTATGTTTTCTATTTCTTATACAGGGAACTTAAACATTAAGTTAAACCTATATTCCAAATACATTTTCAAACTATTCAAATGATGAAAGCAATTGTTGTTTTTTAAGCGTTTATTAGCGAGTTGGGAACTCCAACATGGCCGCCATCTATTCAAATGGGGGTAACCGCTGGAATATTCTTGGCTTCAATTTTACTAAAAGAGATGCGCTATCTAGTGATATCTATGGAGTGAATAACTGTTTTACATCAGTCTAAAGCTTAGTTACCTTTTTCTAATATGCCTCTTTAAACTATACTAAAAAACTCATTAATAATTCATGAAGAAAACACAAAGAAAAATCATAAGCGTGTCGTATCTGTATATGTGATACAGATTCATGTTGATTTACATAAACTTTAACTTTGATTTTCTCGGCTTAGACAGCGTTTATTTTTAAAATTACTTCGCAATTGAACTCATAAGATGAGTCGTTTTTTAAGTCGTTACAAGATTCGCGTCCGTGTTGTATCGGATATACAAACTCTCGCCTTCGGCCAACCTCGCAAGCAAGGGTACGACACGGCCGCTCATGTTGTAAACAGTACCTAGAACACCAGTAGCAACTAGGCATGTACGTGATCTAAAATTATGAATTGGGTACCGAGATTTCCAGATCTCATTACGATTATGCTCATGCGACAGTTTGACAATGACATGCGACAGTTTTAGGCAAAAGTTGTATAGTCTAAATCGAGCTTATATGATTATTATGGCTTCTACATTGCCAGGTTCGAATTGAAAGGCTCTAGTTCTGCTTTTAAATCAGTGAGAATACAAATTTCTTGGGGTTAGGGTGGAGATTACGTCGGTGAGATAACGAGTGATTGAACTCACCAAGCGACTTCGCTCCACATTCAATCAATAATCGCTCAATCGCCCCAGTCTCTATTCCAATACAATTATCCAAGCAAGAATCTGGCAATGTCCAGGAACCATCCTAAACAACAAAATATCTTAGCAAACCAATAAGTGGGAGCTCATGTCCTAATCATCCTTCCTTGCAACTGCGAGCTCAGTTATGAAAGACACAACTGAACCTGACGAGTCAAAAGAAGTAACACATTAACACTGGATCAATAATTATTAAAAGATGATCCTTGCTGGACCTCTAGGAGAACAGTTTAGAACTGATAGAGCTATCCAGTATAAATAAAGTTAGTTTAGTTTAGGTTTCCTCCTGTAGTAACACTGGATCAATAAGAGATGATCCTTACTGGACCTCCAGAAAGAACAATTTAGAACTGATAGAGCTATCCAGTATAAATAAAGTTAGTTTAGTTTAGGTTTCCTCCTGTAGTAACACTAGATCAATAAGAGATGATCCTTACTGGACCTCTAGGGAGAACAGTTTAGAACTGATAGAGCTATCCAGTATAAATAAAGTTAGTTTAGTTTAGGTTTCCTCCTGTAGTAACACTGGATCAATAAGAGATGATCCTTACTGGACCTCTAGGAAGAACAATTTAGAACTGATAGGGCTATCCAGTATAAATAAAATTAGTTTAGTTTAGGTTTCCTCCTCTAGTAACACTGGATCAATAAGAGATGATCCTTACTGGACCTCTAGGAAGAACAGTTTAGAACTGATAGAGCTATCCAGTATAAATAAAGTTAGTTTAGTTTAGGTTTCCTCATGTAGTAACACTGGATCAATAAGAGATGATCCTTATTGGGCCTCTAGGGAGAACAGTTTACAACTGATAGAGCTATCCAGTATAAATAAAGTTTAAATAAAGTTAGGTGTAACGAGAAGAATAATCTAACCTCATGTTGCAGTATAGACAATCCGTAGCTCACTTCCTTGGCCTTTTGTTCTTTCATTTTTGCCTCAGACGTGTCAGAAGCTTTCTCAAGTGCTGCACTACTTCCCAACATAAGAATTACTTCATGCTCTGAAAATACAACATTATTTTAAACTGTAAAAAAACATTGAAAAAAAGAATACAACAATATAGATACAATACGAGTTTCCCAGTAATCAGAATGTTGTCTAGCTTTTTTCATTGTTTTGAGAATCTCGCTGTTCTCAATGCCATCCAGTCATGATCCACCGATCAGAATGTTTCGTTGTCAAATAATCCCATGTAGAAAAATGTGAATTAAAGTTTAGTTACCTTGTTCTGTAACTTGTGATTTTTGATCATCGTGCGGAACTCGGCCACTAGATCTTTTATTGGTGGCTAATTTTTTTCTGGATGCACGTGGGGCAGAGCCCGATTTGAGAGAGCCCATAATACTCATCGTGCATGGTCTGGGTACTGACGGTGGGGGTGGGGGAGAAGCATTATATGACAGGGAGTTAGGAGGTAAAGGTGGTGGTGGAGGGATACTAGCTGATTTACGTGGGGGTGCACGCGGGCGTGGTTTGGGGATAATAATTGATTCATCTGGTGTTTCGGGAATTTTAGGTTTTCTAGGTGGGAGTTGCGGTGGGATAACAGTTGATTCAGGGGGAGATGCCTCAGGCGTGATGGATAATTGAGGGGTAGATTTATATGGTTTTGCTTTGACTGCTATTCTGGCTGATTTTACGGGAAGTGGTGGAGGTGATTCGGGCGGTACATGTTTATCATCACTCCCATATACTGTGGTCTTCCCCAGACCTCCAGGCACTTCGCTATGTCTTGGTTGTGCACGAGATATACATGTATCCTTTTCCACTAAATATGAGCTTGGTGAGTCTGGAAATAAATCAAATGCCATGTCAAGATCTGAGTCATCACTTTCTCCTCCAGATAACGTTTTGGAAGAAGATAGGTCGTAGCATGCCTGAGGTGGCAGTACGTCGTAGACCAACTGTGGTGATGAAGGAACAACATCATAATAAGTCGAGGATGCCGTTTCAAGTTGTGCTTCTAGCTGACGTGCTGTCATGTCAAATGAAAAACCTTGAGCTCGTATCTGCTGCTGTTTTGGAGGTTTTGGTTCAACACAAACTGACGATGATCGTTCTTCTTGTGGTCTGTCTTTTGCTTGTCTCTTTACTACACTTTCTTCGTCTGCTGAAAATATTATAACATTCAGATGGAAACGCCGAGATTCCTTTAAAACACTCATCAATAATTCATGAGGAAAAGACATGAGAAATTTTTTATCATGTAAAACCAGATATAAAACCATCCGTGTGGGTGGCTTTATATGTGATAAAAAATCATATGTTCATTTACATAAACTTTAGCTTTGATTTTCTGGACTTAGAGAGAATTTAAATTAAAAATTACCTCACTAATGTACTCATCAGAGATGGGTCGTTTTTTAAGCCATTTAAAACACCCTCAGTCCGTGCTGTATCAGATATAAAACACTCGAGCTGCGCGCTCGTGTTTTATATCTGATAACCTCCACGTGTTTAATAGTAAATAGAAACCACGCTAACTCACGCTTTTATTTCAATTGTGGCTTATTTCAATTCCTTAGTTAACAGTTACAGACCCCGTAATTCTCGCTATTTTCTTGCCATTGCTTCAATATGTTAGAACACATACACTACATGGCCATTTACTGGTATTTCGTAAACACTTGTAAATGTCCAGATTTTTAACGTCTTACTGTATACATACATGCATATATATAGTTATACTTATACTCTAGTATTTTAAGTAGTTGGAGGGGCACAGGTTTTTGAGCGTAAACTGTTATGTGCTACCCTCGGTAAATAGAGCAGTATTATTTCATTATTATTACTATTACTATTACTAATTAAAGCCAATTGACTAAAAGTGTGACCAACTCCAAATTGAATTTTTTTATTATTTAACAAATATAAAACATTTTCCGTGTTGATATACAGTTATATCAACACGAGTGGAATTGGGAAAAGGAGAAATTGTATGGAAACACGACGCCCGAAGGGCGGAGTGTTTTCATACAATTTCGAGTTTTCCCAACTTCCACGGGTGTTGATATAACTATATATCAATACGGAAAAAATGTTTTATATTTTTTTTATAATATAGCAATGTCAAAAGCCCGAAGGATAAGAACAATTTCCGTGTTTACAAGCGGCGGAAAATTTCCCGTGTTGACATCGAGTTATATCAACACGGCTATTAGCCAATCAGCGTTCAGAATTTACAAATGCTATATTCTAAAAAGATTTATAAAATAACCTTTTAATAACGACTGCATTTTTCCAAACTAGCACGCGTGTTTCTATAACTCTATAGAAACACGGAAAATGTTTTCTATTTCTTAAATATTACATTTCTTCTTCGAATGACTCAAATATGGCGCATACCAAAAATCATATTAGTTGTTAGACGCACTTTAACCCTAGGTCAACCTAAAATTCAAAGCAAACTTCCCAATAACTTGTTTATGAATTTGAAAATATTTCTTCAGAAATCTTGTCTGAATCATTAGGAGTTTTCTCTCTCTCAAATGAAACGGGTCTCAAACGCCTTCCCCCTCTGAGATGGTGGGTTGGGTTAAACAAAGTTAAAAAAATAATATCACAATTGTTGTCATGATAAAATAGTCCACACTAACTATGTAATTAGGTAAGCTTATAATACTCTAGATTTAAAAGCGCATTTGATCATATGCACATGGAAATTTGCACTATAAAAATCTTAATTCATAACGAACGTAAAAAATTGCTTACGTTTCTCCTTTGGTGATATTCCTTTTCTTTGGGCAAGAGAGAAGAAATCTGGCTCTTCTTCTTTCGACTTTTCGCGTTCCTCTGTCGCGCCAAGTTTCATTCTGGCCACCGGCTCTTCAAGACTTGACTTGACTGAAAATGTATCATGACCGCCTGAACCCGCCGACTGTTGTCTTGGCAACACTGATGATTCAGCTGAATGATGTGTGAGAGTAACCAACCTTGCTTGTGATTGAGGAAGACTGGATCCAAATAACTGGTTGCTACCTAGCGCTGACGAATCACTTGACAGAGTCGTATGACGACTAGATCCAAATAAACCGTTGATAGCGAACGCTGACGAACCACTCGACAGAGTTTGAGGAAGGCTGGATCCATAAAACCGGTTGCTAGGCAACGCTGACGAATCACTTGACAGAGTTAGAGAAAAGGTGGATGCAAGTGCCTTCTCGTTGAGTTGAGGAAGTCTGTGTCCAACTAACGATCGCCTTGCGCCGAACGAAGCTGGTTGTATCCAAATTACACATTAACTATTAGTAAACTAACTTTATTTATATTGGATAGCTCTATCAGTTCTAAACTGTTCTTCCTAGAGGTCCAGTAAGGATCATCTCTTATTGATCCAGTGTTACTACAGGAGGAAACCTAAACTAAACTGACTTTATTTATACTGGATAGCTCTATCAGTTCTAAACTGTTCTTCCTAGAAGTTGTTACAAATCTGTTCACAAGCTGTCAACAAGTTGTGTTCGCACTGCTTGTTCCCAGATGTTGTAACAAGTTTGGAACAAGCTGTTAACAACTGGTAACAAGCTTGATGGCATTATCAGACTTGTACCAAGGTTGTTCTAACAAGTGTAATACAGTCATGATATAACAAGAATGTCACAAGGTTGACGACACAAGATTGTAACAATATTGTTACATCAAGACTGTATCGGACTTGTTGGAACAACCTTGCAACAAGTCTGATAATATCAACAAGGTTGTTATAATGGTTAACAACTTGTTCCAAACTTGTTGACAACTTGGGACAAGCAGTGCGAACACAACTTGTTGACGGTTTGTTGGCAGACTTGCTACAAGATGTAAGATTTTTGCGTGTGTACGAGAAGAAATTGAAGACTGACCTTTCTTTGGTATTTCTGATGTATCTGGGATCTCATAATCTTCTTGTTCAAACTAAATAAGAAAATAAGTCTGAGAAAATCTTGAAACTAGGCAAGGGTCAACCTCACAACTGGCTAGACCCTTTACCACCACACTTTATTTATAACAAGTTATAACAATATACAGTACTACACATGTAAAAACGCACAAATTGTTACAGATCTGCAAACAAGTTGTTACAAGTCTGTTCACAAGCTGTCGACAAGTTGTGTTCCCACCGCTTGTTTCCAGTTGTAACAAGTTTGGAACAAACTGTTAACAACTTGTAACAAGCTTATGCCATTATCAGACTTGTTACGAGGTTATTCGAACAAGTTTGATACAGTCATGATATAACAAGAATGTTACAAGGTTGTAACAATATTGTTATATCATGACTGTATCGGACTTGTTGGAACAACCTCGCAACAAGTCTGATAATATCAACAAGCTTGTTACAAGTTGTTAACAGCTTGTCCAAACTTGCTGAAACTTGGGACAAGCAGTGCGAACACAACTTGTTGACGGCTTGTTGGCAGACTTGTTACAAGATGTGAGATTTTTACGTGTGTCCAAGGAGACATCCTATTTACAAGCGCTATGGTTTCCGGATGCCTCCTTGTCACCAATATCTACTTTATGGTGTACATATTGACTATTTAAAACTAACTATATTATCATTATGAAACAACTAGTATACAATGGACCTTTCCCCTTATAACTAAAATTTCGATCTAGACAAAAATTTCATCACAGCTTGAAAGAGCATCACAAAATTAGTAATATTCCAAAGTTTTGTTGTAAAATCTTGTAAAATGCGGATAATATAGCCTTGCGAAGTTTGCCGTTTTTCAATCATTTTGTATTACAAACGGGAAATTGACATACGATTCGGGTGTTGGGACTGCAATTTCCCGTTTGTAATGCAAAATGACTGAAAATTGCAAACTTCGCAAGGCTCTACTTTCCTCATTTTACAACATTTCGCAACGAAACTTTGGAATATTACTAATTTTGTGATGCTCTTTCAAGCTGTGATGAAATATTTGTCTAGACTTGCCTAGATCAAAATTTTGGTTATAAGGGGAAAGGTCTATTGATATCCGTGGCAAAATTAAATTATCCTTATTCCTTACAGTACCTCGTCTGAATCCGCTTGTTCACCTGAAATAAATCAAAATTATATTGAAAATCCTCTGTCTAGCCCATAGATATCTTATATACACTAGATAGCGCATCTCTTTTAGTAAAATTGAAGCCAAGAATATTCCAGCGGTTACCCCCATTTGAATAGATGGCGGCCATGTTGGTCGTTCCCACTTGCTAATAAACGCTTAAAAACAACAGTAACTTTCATAATTTGAATAGTTTAAAAACGTGTTTGGAATAGGGTTATAATAACTTAATGTTTAAGTTCCCTGTTTAAGAAGTAGAAAACATACGAATCTTCTCATTTCATGGGAATATCCTGAGACTGCAATCACGGCTTCAATTTTTGAATTGCAGAATAATTAGATGCACTATCTAGTGTATATAAGATATCTATGGTCTAGCCCCATCCCGGTGGCTTGTTTATTTCAGCATTTCAGGCATGTTTGAGCGGGCTGTTCATTGTAGAGAGGGCGGGGTTTACTTTAGAGGGGGCAAATGGAGAGGTGGGCCTAATAGAGTGATAGGGGTATCCAAGCGGGGGTCTAATAGAAAGGTGGGATTATTTGGGAGGTCGGCCTAATAGAGAGGTGGGGTATCCAAGAGGGAGCCTTATAGAGAGATGGGGATTATTTGAGAGGTGGACCTAACAGAGAGGTGGGGTATCCAAGAGGGGGTCTAATAGAAAGGTGGGGGTTATTTGAGAGGTGGACCTAACAGAGAGGTGGGGGTATCCAAGAGGGGGGCTAATAGAGAGATGGGGG